CCACCAAAAAGGGGAAAAAAAAAAAAACGGCGCATCCAGCACACCTGCCTCAGCCCAACCCGCATGCGTGCGCGCAGCGCATGTGCGCTTCGGCCAGCACATAGCGCAGCGCAGCGCGCACCGATGTTGTGCGCCAGAAGTATGATTTATATGCTTCTCTTATCCTCTCCCTGATATCATCCGTCAGATCTCATTCTATGATGACTGCAGCAAAGTGAGCATCCCTCCTACTCAACGCATCAACGACCTCATAATACTTCCCTTTGACAGTCTTCAACTCAAAATCAAAGGTATGAATGACTTATAGCCACCTAGCCTATTTATCTGTCAATCTGGGCTGCATTTTAAGCCAATTCAAGGTCTCGTGGTCTTAGTACACCTTGAAGTGTCTGCCTAACAAATAGTGTTTCCAGCAATGTTGAACCCCGGTTGGACCGGGGACCCCTCCCCCGACTGGGGGCCTCCCAGTTGGACCGGCCGGTCGGCCGTCCCAATTGGCTCCAGCCTCCCGGTTCCCCCCAGCGCATTTTTGCAGAGGGTGGGATAAATTTTTTTTGTCGGCCAAGTGACTCTTCGGGGCTTGTAGATCCCACTGCCGCTGGAAAAAGAACACGAACTGGGCCTGGTGGGCCCATCAATGGGCAAAAAAATTGAAAAAAAGAAGGCGTCCAATCTTGGCCACTAATATTTGTCGACCAGCGGCCAAGATCGACCGCTATTCAAACTTGGAGCACGCGCTCAGCTTCGACGTGAAAGAGTGCTCTGCCCCGCCTTGCCGCATCGAATTTCATCTAAAGTCTCCCACCTGGCGGCACACGACCCCACCATGTCGTTTGTCAATTGGAGACGCACCGCACGAGCCGGCCATCGCGACGCCAGGTGTGTGTGTGTGTGTGTGTGTGTGTGTGTGTGTGTGTGAGAGAGAGAGAGAGAGAGAGAGAGAGAGAGAGAGAGAGATGTGAGCCTCCTCCTCTTCATCTTCTTCACCTCCTCCACTTCTTCTTTTTCTCCTCTTGTTACGATCCTAGTCATTTCCCAAGTGCAAATTCACAATGAAAGATAATGCCACCCAATTGCGAAAGAAATGAAAGCACTTGCAAAGAGATAAAGATTAGAGGAGAGAGAAAGAAGAAGAAGAAGAAGAAGAAGAAGAAGTACACCAGCAAGACCAATGACAATTCCCCCTTCTCTCTCCACCTTCCCCCTCCTCCTTCACTTCACCAATCTTATTCTTCCCTCAATAATAATAATAACAATGAATGGATGAACCAGAATCAATATCCGAAGTTCCCTCTTACTGCTGACTCAACTCAACAACAACAACAACAACAACAACAACCAGTCCACCATAGCTATGGCTTCCCTCCTTCAGCCTCCTCTCTCATGCATAGGCTATGGCGGACTACTCCAA